GAATCTGAAGAAATTGGTATAGACGATCTTATTTACAAAGCAGAGATAGAGACACAGACGTAGAGAAGAACAAACATATGGATACCAAGGGGGAAAGGGGGTGGGGTGGGAGGAATTGGGAGACTGGGATTGACATATATACACTATTGATACTATGTATAAAATAGATAACTAATGAGAACCTACTGTATGTAACAGGGAGCTCTACTCAGTGCTCTGTGGGGACCTAAATGGGAAGGAAGTCCAAAAAGGAGGGGATGTATGTATACGTATAGCTGATTCACTTTGCTGTACAGTATAAACTAACACAATATTGTAAAGCAATTATACTCCAATAAAAAAAAGAACTTATCATGTGACTCTGCTGTTGTGTAAAAAGAAATTTAAATTCATCTCAAAAGTTATACTTAAAAATACTCCTTCAATATTAAAGTAGTATTTGATGATTATGATGATTATGATAGAAAAAAATGTACTTACTGTTGTTTAACTGGTAGAGACTAGAATTTTTGTGTTAGTTTCCACTCTGGACCATTCATTCTCTTTTTTTACATTCTGTCATTGTAAATTTTTTTTAATAGGTTTACCTTAAGGTTCACCAATGTCTGTCTCTTTATAAGGAACTGGAATCTTGACAAAGAATCACAGACTCAAGGGAGGGGGGACCATGAGTTCAGGTCAGTGACTTCAACAGGGAGACATGAATGTATGTAGATGATAAAGGCTATTAGGGCCCCCAGAGAAGAACAAAAAACAATAACTAATTCTCTACCACTTGCCTGAAATATCTCCCAAGGATCATATATGTCATCAGAGTCAGGAATTCTGTTTTTTGAGGGAGACACAAACCAATGCAACTCTCTCTACTCTTTCATTAATCTAAAACAGTGTGGTAGGCTGGTCTCCCATAGTCCCAGCGGAATCTAACTAATATTAGCTAACTATGCCTCCAAATCAGGAGCCAGGATAGCGTGGCCTGAACACGAACATGGAGATCCTCCCTCTGCCCTCACCTGGGTCAAGCTTCAGCATGTTTTTAAAGTGTCTACTCGCTTAGTTTCATGAACTTTGGGAATAATAGTAGATTGAGTCATTAACCAAGGACACCAGCAAGAAAATAAATGATCACAGAGTGCTCAAAAACAATGAGCACATTAAAAACACTCCCTTCAAGTTGTTGAAAGTAAGTATGTAAAGTATGGGAAAAGAGTCTTTATAGGACTTGTTAATTCTCAAACATATATTACAATAGATAAAATACACCTTCAAGGTTCAGACAAGTGAAGGAAGACTCCAAATCTCGGGCTCAAGGTGAGAATAACACTTACAGTGGTATATATGGAAAAATATTCTTGAACTGTAGTGTGTTTAACAAAATAGTCCTTTCAAATGAATATATTTGTCCCTTATGAGCAAAATTTTTACTGCAGCCAAAAGATTTGCTGACTTCGTTGATACAGCAGACTCAGGCATATAATGGTCATTCAAAGCTTGAAATATGAGGATATCCTTCTACTGTGTTCCTACGTGGGTTTGAAGTAACCTTAGACTTAAGCTGGCACTGCCACTCAACTACCTACTTTCATATGCCAGTCAAACTTCTGAGCGATAAATAAAACATGGTATAGCAACACAATGGGATCTCATTTGTCCATAAACAGGAATGACGTAGTGATACATGTCACAACACGGATGTGCCTTGAAAATGTTACGCCAAGTGAAAGAAGCCAGTCACAAAGGACCATTTGTTGTATGATCCCATTTATATGAAATGGCCAGAATAACAAATCCATAGAGACAGAAAGTAAATTGATCAGCAGTTGCTTAGGGATAATGGAGTAAGGAAGAAATGGGGTATGACTGTTAATGGGTACAGGGTTTCTTTTGGGGGGTGATGAAAATTTTCTAAAATTGATTTTGGAGATGGTTGCAGAACTGTGAATTTAATAAAAATCATTGAACTGCACACTTTAAATGGGTGATATAAGTAGATTTAAATGGAATGTGAATTATATCTCAATAAAGCTGTCATTAAAAAAAAATTCTGCAGTCCTCAAGTCATAATTTTTAAGCTTTTCTCATAAAACTTTAGTTTAGCTGACTTTAAATTAGTTACAACGTGCTATCAAGCCCCTTCCTTTTAACTATTAAGCCCCTTTCTTTTAGAAATACATTCTGAAATATTTAATGCTGAAACTACAATACTGGAGATTTGCCTTAAAATAATCCAGTGGGTGTTACCAAGGGGGAGTGGGCATGAGTATACAGTGACCATGTAAATGTTGATAACTACTGAAGCTGGGTGACGGGTCAATGGGTGTTCTTTCTATATTTGTTGAGATTTAAAATTTTCAAAATAAAATTTAAAAGGTAGAGTGGGGTTCTTAAGACTTCCTGGTCACTTCTCTGCTGTCTCTCTAGTCCACTTATATTTTCTTTTTAAAAACATACATGTGTTGAAATATTTACAGGTGTAATGATGTGATGTCTGAGATTTGTTTCAAAATAACGTGGGAAGTGAATCTGACAAATGGACTAGAGGGCACGCTGAAGCTAATTTCTACCCTGCTTAGAACACCCATCCTTCTGGAGTTATCAGAACACATAGAAGGAATTCCCTGGTGGTGCAGTGGTTAGGACTCTGCGCTTTCACTGCCGAGAGCCCGGGAAACTAAGATCCCACAAGCTGCCCGGTGCAGCCAAAAAAAAAGAACACATAGAGCCGGCAGCAGAGCCAGAAAGAGGTACAGGAGGTAAAACAACTGTTAGAGCTGGGTGAGGAATATATGAAGGTTCATTGTACAGTGTTTGAATAAATTTAAAATTTTCCATAAAGCAGAGTTTAAAAAAAAACATCTCTCTCACACACATAAATTCAAAAGGTATGCTACTGCTGAGACTTTTTTCCTGCAACACCAGGAGAGTCATGGGGCTTAATGCCATTCTCAAATCCTATTCAGTTGTTCTGGACATCTACTATCTGTTGGTTCTGTTGTCACTTTGCAAATTCTGAGGACAACCTCAGAAACAGGCCACAACAAATAAGAATAACAAACAGTTGCAAGTTTGCGTATAGAGTTGGGGGCACAGTGTGGGAAATGGACCCTGTGGAAGAGACTTAGTTCCAAATCACTCATTCTTTCCCTGCTCTGGAGCTCCAAATCACTCATTCTTTCCCTGCTCTGGTTTGCTGGGTCCCAGAGACAAGGATGTGCCCAGCCAGCAGGCCCAAGCTAGCAGTCTTTATCTTCTAGCTGATTCCTCTTTTTTTTTCTTTTTTAATAGTTCATCAAATCTAACTATGGCTTGACTGACATCTAAAGTGTATTTACCTCTGAAATAATTCACAATAGTACACTGATTTAGGGGTTTAATTTTAGGAGGGAAAAAAATAGTTTTCAATAATCCTAAACTAGCTATCTTTGAGAAGACAAGAGATTATGATTTTACAAAGAGCAAATCCCTAAAAATGTATGCAAGAGTCACTTCTGGCCCGTGGTATTTAGAGAAATAAAATGCAGCCACCATTTGGCTGAATTTAGTCTGACAAGTGGACTAAGGAGCATAACGGATCTAATCCCTACCCTGCTGGGAATACTCCTCTTTCTGAAGTTTTAAAGGACTCCCAGAGCCCAGTGAGAGAGCCCAAGGGTAGGGCCAGGAGGGTGGGATTCCTTTTACACGATGCACAGATTGTGAATTCCACCCACCACAGTAAGATCATCCAGCATCAAAATATTTCAAAAAGAAGAACAAACTGGCATCAGTTTAAGTATAAAATGTCAGGCCAGGTTCTAGGTACCTAATGTTCTTACAGTTCTTATTCAAACAATTACTTTGGGTTCAATTAGTTCTCCCTATATTCTTAAAATTTGGTCTTGAATCTGGGTTTGTGTGGACCTGCAAGGACAATTTTCAGCCATTCAAAATATACATTCATTACAGATCTTAGTAAAAACTATAGGCATTGCCAGGCTTTTAGATTTAGTTTAGAGAAAGGCCGTTTACTTTAAATGAATTCATCTTCCACAATCATTCCACGAAAACCTATTTCCAGGTCTCTCAATCCTCAGCAAACCTCAAGACACAGGATGCCTTGGAAGCTGTGAAATCGTTAGGAGGCAGGGACGAGCAGCCACCAGTTTCCATAAACGCTCGAGGGCAGCAGCCTTTTGCCTCAGAACAGCCTTCCCTGTCGCAGGAGGCAGGGCCGGTAGGGCCTGTACCGGAGCGGGGAGACATCTCCGGCTAGTTGGGACTTCGGCAAGCTTATCCGAACCACGATGGGTTCGGGTTCTGGAGAATTAAATTCTGCCCATCAGTCTGCGTGGCTCCAGGAACCTAGTGCGGGCTTAGGGCCCTCCTTTAATGACCAAGTACGTGGGTGCGTTCACACACCCTGTTATTACCTCCTGAACTCGTCCACAGGTACAGTGGAGCTACCCTACTCCAGACACTTCACATTTACTTGTGCCTTAGTGCGGAATAAAAACAAGTGACGTGGGCCAACCTGTCACTTCATCCATCCCACAAATACTCCTACTATGTGCCAGGCACTGTTGATACATCAGTGAACAAAACAGATGAAGATCCTTGCCCTCCCCGTGCGGACGTTGTCAGCGAAGTAAATACTCAATAGCTGAAAGAAGTTTACTCATTTTCTTCCCGCTTTTTTGTCACCCACCCCCATCCTTCCAATCTCCCAAATAGCCGGAAATCGGGTTTATTCTATTAGTTTGACAGGAACAACAAAACCCTTTAGCCTACAAGGAATAGACACTGTCCAGGTGCAACCCAATTCGCCCCAGAATTCTCTCTCTCTTACACCTTTATTTTTCCCCAGCCTCAACGCCTCCAAAAACTTCAACTGGCCTGAGGGGCTGTGCTCCCGAAGGGCAGCCCTGGGGCGATCAATCACGGGGCAGTGGAGGCGAACGGCCTGAGCCCCCTGCTCCCCGGGTGGGCCCTGCCGAAGCGAGCGGGGCACGCGCGCCACTCACCGAGGAGCCGGCCCAGAACGGGCACGAGTTCTTCACCTGCGGGGAGCTGCTCAGCGACAGCGCCCCGAAGCTGAGTGCCACCATGCAGCAGCCCAGGATCAGCTGCAGCAGACCGAGCGACAACAGCGGGCGAGCGGGCAGCAGCGCCGAGCCCGGGGCCGCGGCGGCGGCCCGGCGGGAGGAGAGCGCGGGCGGCGGGGCCAGCACCCCGGCGGCGGCGGCGGTGGCCGCGCAGCGAGGCCGCGCCGGGGGCTGCAGCGCGGCCCGGGGCCAGCGCGGCCGTAGCGGGGGCAGCGGCGGCTCCTGGGCGGCGGCGGCCGCGGTGCCCGGGCCCCCGGCCTGTGGCCCGCCCGAGAGCCCAGCCACCGGGCAGCAGGAGCCCGGGAGCACCACGGGCAGGGACATGGGCGGGCGGGGAAGGAGCGGCCGGTGGCGGCGGTAAGAAGACGCGGAGCGCAGCCGCGGGCGCCGCGCACCGGGGAAGGGGGCGGGCTCCGAGGCCCGGGGGAGGGAAGGAAATGCGCACGACCCAACCACTTGCTGCTGCTGCTGCCGCCGCCGCCCCGACTCCCGCCGGCCGCACCCACCTGCCAGCCGGCGGGTCCGCCTCCGGCCGCCCGGGCGCGCCCCACTCCCACCCGGGCACACCCACGCGCGCCCTTCGCTCACGCCGCGCAGCGCCGCTACCCTTTGGGGTCCGGCCGAACCCACGCTCGCTCGCCGGTCTCCAGGAAAGGTGCCCTGCCCCAATATTTAAAATTGGTCCCTCGGGCTAGGAGGGAACGGCGGTCTGGGCGCGGAGGTACAGGCAGCCGACGGTCTGAGACTGTCCCCACCCGCCAAGCTGGGGCGGGACAGGAGCGCCGCCGAAGCGCTGTGGACCCTCGGCCCCTTCAGGTCCAGCCCAAAGAGCGACTCTGGCATCCTTTAATACGAAGGGAGCCTGGCTTTAAACTTTTTCCCCCGGGGAGGGAGGATGGCAGGAAGAGGAGCTGTGGATGACTTGGTGGGAAAAGTCTAAGGCTCAGGGCTTCGGGGAAGGACAACGCAGAGCGAAGTCACCGTTCGCGTGGGGCTTCCGGGCGCTGACATTGTGCTGCGGCCCCTCCGCCTGGAAGTTGGGGCGTGGGGGGGTGGGGGGTGGAGTGCTTTCCCGGCACCAGAGTAGGAGCGAGCAGGAGCCCAAGGTTACCTTGGAAGTATCCCGCCTCCAGAAAGAAAGAAGCGGGGGCGGTCCGTAGCGCGTGGCAAGGGTTACACTCTGTGGCCGACTCATCTTGACTCATGAGCTGTATTAGGCATCACCTGGTAGAACGTAGAATCCCAAACTTCTAAAGAAATAGCCTAATAAAAACATAATCTGTTTTGGGTAATTTATAAGATATATTTAGAGCTTAAAAAACTGACTCGCCTTTGTAAAAGGATTTTACCTAATAGTCTACCCTTCCCTCGGAAGAATTCTTATGTGTTGAAAGTGTTCGTATACATAAAATGATCATAATAGATTTTTTTTCCAAGTTTAAGAACCAGAGCAGTGTCGCTTTGCAGTAAGACAGCCTTTGTATTAGGTTTCTCATTTTATCAGTAAGGTGAGGGTATTTTATATTCTCCTGTCCAATAAACCAAAGGAAATGTGTATCCGTTTTTATGCTCTGCTTGCAAAGGCTATATTTATTTTGGTCATTACTTACTTCAGCCCACAGTGTGATGCACTGCCAACGTGCATGTGTGTTTACATGTACACTTTTTGAATAATTAAAGCACCTGTGAGAGGGAGATCATTTCAGTGCTTTGTGACCACCTAGAGGGGTGAGATAGGGAGGGTGGGAGGGAGATACAAGAGGGAGGGGATATGGGGATATATGTATACGTATAGCTGATTCACTTTGTTATATAGCAGAAACCAACACAACATTGTAAAGCAATTATACTCCAATAAAAATGTTAAAATAAAATAAATAAAGCACCTGTGATTAATAGTCCCAAGGACTTCTTTTACAAACTCTTGTTGAAAATAAACTTCAAATCCTGGAGAAAAAAATGGACTTAAAATAAACATTTAAAGTATGTTGCTTCATGCACTTTCAAACATTTTACAGTATATATCCTTCTTTTTTTTTTTTTTGAGGTACGCGGGCCCCTCCCTGTTGCGGCCTCTCCCGTTGCGGAGCACAGGCTCCGGACACGCAAGCTCAGCGGCCATGGCTCACGGGCCCAGCCGCTCCGCGGCATGCGGGATCTTCCCGGACCGGGACACAAACCCGCGTCCCCTGCATCTGCAGGTGGACTCTCCACCACTGTGCCACCAGGGAAGCCCTACAGTACATATTCTTAAATGGCTGGTGATGTTAAACTGAAAGCTTCTTGTGTGCTAGTTTGTACATTTTATTTTATGCACAAGCTTAAAGGTATTTAATTTTTAAGATTCTACTCTATTGTGAAATATAAAAAAGTCTGATTGAGTCTTGGGAAATTCTGTCAGCTTAACAAATCTATTCCTGTGGTCAGTCCCTGACACCTGAAATGTACTGTCAAAAATGTATTCTTGGGCTTCCCTGGTGGCGCAGTGGTTGGGAGTCCGCCTGCCGATGCCGGGAACACGGGTTCTTGCCCTGGTCCGGGAAGATCCCACATGCCGCGGAGCAGCTAGGCGCGTGAGCCATGGCCGCTGAGCCTGCGCGTCGGGAGCCTGTTGCTCCAAAACGGGAGAGAAAAGTTTTCTCTGGGTCTGGGTAGGTTGGTGCTAGAAGTCAGATATCCTCTTCTGTTGGATGGTTAATGGCTGGAAAGGGAGAGCTCCAGGGGAGGTGATAACCATCTGTTTCTTGCTGTGGGTGCCAGTTACATGAGTGAGACTCATTTTGAGAAAATTTATGGAGTTACATTTTGTGCAGTTCTCTGCATTTTATATTTAAACACTTTAAAGTATTTCTAAGTCCTTTATTCTTAAATTTTTTGTCTATTTCCCTATACAGAAACGATGATAGCCGAGGGTAATTTAAATCCATAGATAGTTTTATCCAATAGCTTTACTTATTTTTTCAGGCCACTAAACATTTTTCAAAGCTGCTAATTGAGTTGTTGTGCAGTAATTTTATTTTATGTTGTTGTTATTGGCCACATTTATATCTGTGAAGATTCTTTTTCATAAACACAAATCCATAAAAAATTGCCCTAACCTTTAAGATTATACCAAATAGCACTCTTGAGTATTTGAGCTTTGACTTTTATAACCCAAGCTTGACTCTTTGCATCTGCCAAGCAGTTGCTTACAATAAGTCCTTATTTATACGTGATCAAGCTGAGTTGTATGTAACTAAATTCTTATATGATGATTCAGAGCCATTGATTTCAGGTTGGCTTTAAAACATTAAGTGAGGATTCTGGAAAACAGTCTGGCAGTTCATCAAAAAGTTAAACATAGAATTATCATTTGACCCAGTAATTCCACTCCTAGGTGTATACCCAAGAGAAGTGAAAACATATCCACATAAAAGCTTGGACACAATTCGCTTTATTCACAGTAGCCCAGAAAGTAGAGGCAACCCAAATGTGGATGAATGAATAAACAAAATGTGGTATTATGGATGAATTTGTTTATCCTGCATAAACAAAATGCAGGATAGCCATGCAATGGAGTATTTTCAGCAATAAAAAAGGGTGAAGAAAAAAAAGGGTGAAGTGTACTGTAACATGCTATGACGTGAATGAACCTTGAAAACATCACACTAAGTGAAAGAAGCTAGTCACAAAAGACCATATATTATATGATTCCTTTTATATGAAATCTCCAGAGCAGACAAATCCATAGAGAAAGAAAGTAGATTAATGGTTGCTTAGAGATGGGGGCAGAGGGGGTGTATTAGACGATTGAATTGGGGGAGGGTTATAGCTAAAGGGTCAGTTTACTTTTTCAGGTGAAAAAAATCTTCTAAAATCTATTATGGTGATGATTGCCTAACTTTGTGCATATACTAAGAACCATTGAATCGAACACTTTAAATGGGTGAATTGTATCTCAATAAAGATTACATGTGAATCTATCTTTATGTCTCAATAAAGCCCTTACCAAAAAATATTAAAAATAATTAAAGAAGAACACGTGGAAAATTTGACCAGGCATTTCATTATGTAGGTGAAAGTTCAAGGAAACAACGGTTGTAGTGTATTATTGGGTGGAACCCAGCTGCCAGCTTTCCTCAATATCAAAGCCAAATCCGAGGAGGAGAAATTTCCATCAACTCTTCCCCTCCCTCTACCTCATTTTCCACTCATCGAACTCAAAGACTTTACCTCCCAGGAATTCAGGTTCTCTCACTCAGGTTACACTGGGCACTTTAACACAGACTCTTCAGTTCTTCCCACCATTTCTCAGAAGCCTCAACGTGTCAGCTAATTACAGGAGGTTATTCCCTGTTAGAGCGAGCGCTGTTGCAGAAACTCCTCAAAACTTGTTCCCTGGCAACCTGCCTCCAGTGCTTGCATTTTACGAGAAGAGCTTCTCTGAGTAAGGCAGAATGGAACCTAGAAGTCCTCATTTAATATGGCTACTCTGGAGCAGCTTCGCAAAGTTTGGTCCAAGGACTAAATAACCACTCCGGAAGCAGGTCAAAATGCAAGTTCACGGGCTTCCTCCTCCTGCATGGAATCTGACACTCTGGATAGGTTGGGGAGCCTACATTTAACACATTTTTAAAAAATGTTAATGGATGGTAGTAGCCAGACTCGAGAATCTTTACATGGGGATTTTTATATGGGAAGGGACTAAGAGGTAGCAAATTAGCTGGAAGGGGAAGGCAGGGGATTTGGCTTGAAGACAAACTGAGATGTAAATATGTTGGAGGGAGGAGTTTGGCTGGTCCCCAGGCAGACACTGCTGCTCGGGTGATTCTAATGCACAGGAAGGACTTAGACCACTGGGTTCTAATGGCAAGGGGACTATATTAGGAGCCAGACATCCAGGGCCCGAGCCCCTCGTCCACTCTGTGATCTTTAGCAGCATCAAGTTTCTCTAGCCTCAACTGATTGATCTGTCAAGTGCAAATTTGTGATGCTTCATCTGCCTGAGGCTGGACCATGGAATCACATGGAATCCCCAAGGCCTGCATTTTGAAATTAAGCCACTCTCATCACCATGATTTGTCAGGTCACCAGTAAGAGAGCAGAGACCAAGAAAAGCAGGTGAATTGGGGTGCAGAATGGTCAACTTTCAGACCCAAAATACCCAGGCAAAATGAAAAGTCCTTCGTTCTAAAGAGGATGTACCTGGGACAGGAACTAAGAATGAGGAACATGGAGCTTAAGATGCAGGAAAAGGAGCAACCTTGTGCTTTCTCTGAACCTCCTCATAACACTAACTACTGGTCTTGGCAGTCTGCTATAACCAGGCTTTGCGTGCGTTATTT